GGGAGAAGTAAAATCATTTCTATTTGCAGATGACATGATATTAATGTAGAAAGTCCTAAAGAACCCACAAATTATTAGTGCTAATAAATGAATTCAGCAAATTTGCAGGATACAAGAGTGACAAAAATCAGTTATACCTCTTTACACTAGCAGTGAACAATCCAAAAATGAAACTAAGACAATAATTTCATTTTGCCATAGCCAGTTTGGCTCAGGGGATAGAGTGTCAGCCTGCAGACTGAAGGGTCCTGGGTTCGATTCTAGTCAAGGGCATATACCTCGGTTGCAGGCTCCAGGGCACATGCAGGAGGCAACCAATCGACGTTTCTCTCACATTGATATTTCTCTCTGTCTTTCCTTTTCTCTTCCACTCTCTCTCTAAAAATCAATGGAAAAATACCCTAAGGTGAGGATTTAAAAAGAAAAAAAGATGTTGAAAAACAAACAGATAAATAATAAAATAATTTTAAAAAATAATTATTTCATTTACAATAGCATCTAAAAGAGCAAAGTGGTTAGGAATAAATATAATCAAGGACATGAAAGACATATATACTGAAAAGTACAAAACATTGCTGGAAGAAATTTATAAAGACCTAAATAAATGGAACATCTTGTATTCATAGATTGGAAGACTTCACCTTGTTAAGACAGCAATATTTCCCAAAGTGATCTACAGATTTAATTCAATCCCTATCAAAATCCCAATGGAATTTTTACAGAAATGGAAAAGCTAATCGGAAAATTTATATGGAATTGCAAGGGACCCAGAATAGCCAAAACAATTTAGAGAAAGAACAAAATATTATACTTTTCAACTTCAAAACTTACTCCAAAGTTACAGTAATCAAAACAGTGTCATACTGCCTGGCTGTTGTGGCTCATTGGTTGAGCATTGACCAATGAACCAGGAGGTCATTGTTTGAGTCCCAGTCAGGACATATGCTGGGGTTGTGGGCTCTATCCCAGCAGGGGGTGTGCATGTAGCAGCGGATAGAAATACAGACCAATTAAATAGAATTGAGCACCCAGATATATACCCACATATCTACAGTCAATTGATTATCTTGGTAATATGGGTGCCAAGACTATTCAAAGAGAAAAGGATAGTCTCTTTAACAAATGGTGCTGGGACTACAGATAAACACATGGAGAAAAATGAAGATGAACCCCTACCTCAAACCATTTACAAAAATTAAGTCAAAATGGATCAAAGACCTAAATATAAGAGTTAAAACTATAAAACTCTTAGAATAAAGCATGAAGTTTTAGAAATAAAACATGGGTCCTTAGATATGACAATGGGTGCACAAAACAACAAAAGAAAAAAACAGATAAATTGAACTTCATCAAAATAAAAAATGTTTATTAAGGACACTATCAAGAGAGTGAAAAGACAACCCACAGATGGGGGAAAATTTTTGTAAATTGATAACAGTCTAGTATAAAGAATATATGAATAACTTTTACAATTCAAAAATAAACCAGCTCTATCCACTGAGCTGGTTTGGCTCAGTGGATAGAGCATCAGCCTGCAGACTAAAGGGTCTCATACCAGTTGCAGCTTGATCCCCACCATGATCAGGGTGCATGTGGGAGGCAACCAATCGATGTGTCTCTCTCACATCAATGTTTCTTTTTGTCTTACCCCCTCCTTTCCACTCTCTCTCTAAAAGTCAATGGAAAAATATCCTCAGTGAGGATTAACAAAATAAATAAATAAATAAAAATACAATTAAAAAATGGGTAAAGAATTCGAAAAGACATTTCTCCAAAGAAGGTAAACAAATGTCCAATAAACACATGAAAAGATACTCAATACCATTAGTCATTAGGGAAATACAAATCAAAATCTCAATGAGAGAACTACTTTATACCTACTAGGATGACTATTAAACAAAAAATTAAAAATAAGTGTTGATGGGTTTTTTTTTAATGTAAAATAGTGCAGTCACTGTGGGAAACAATTTGGTAATTCCTCAAATAGTCAGACATAAGTTTACTCCATGACCCAGTAATTCCATTCCTAGGTATATACCCCCCAAAATTATAAAGAGGTTCTCAAACAAATACTTGCACATAAATGTCCATAGCAGCACTATTTACAAGAGCCCAAAGATGGACACAACCCAAATTTCCATCAATGGACGAATAGATAAACAAAATGGGGCTAATCCATACAATGGAATATTATTCAACCAAAAAAAGAAGGATGAACCCTGTAAACAATGCTAAGTGAAAGAAGCCAGATACAAAAGACCATGTACTGTTTGATACAATTTGTATGAAATGTCTAGAATAAGTAAATTCAGAGACAGAAAACAGATTAGAGGTTGCCAGAGGCTTACTGTGTGTGACGGGGCAGGGAGGGGAGTGGGAGGGGTGTTACAGGGAGTAACTGCTTACAGGGTATGAGGCCCCTGAGGAATGATGAAAATGTTTGGAACTAGATAGAAATGATGGTTAAACGGCATTGGGAATGTACTAAGTGCCACTGAATTGAAAATTATTAATTTAATGTAAATTTCACCTAAAAAGAATTAAACTTGGGGAATCCTGGGAATTCCACTGCTTAATGTTTATAACCCAAAGCTCAGAAGCAGGAAGGAATTCGCCCAAGGTCACACTCTACCCGGAGGAGATGGCCCTGCCCTTTTCTTGCTTTGATTTTCATCCCTGACTCGTTTTCAGATGACAGCAACTGTTCCTATTTGCTAGCCACTTACTACAAGATTCCGTTGAGAACTTCCTGTGTGTGGCCATAATGAGAATGCTTCCCCAACAAGCCTCTGAGGAGGTGCTGCTATGACCCCCCATTTTATAAGGAGAAAACTGAGTCCTGGAGAGAGGTCACTTGTGCCTAAGGTCCCAAAGCCAGGTGGTTTGACACCAAATCCACACTAACCAGATGGCAGTGTATTTTCAAAAAAACAGTTGTGACAAATGTCTGGCCCCACATGCCCTTCCAGACCCTATGTCCCCTTCCCTGAGTCTGGGAAGACCTCTATGACTGTCGGGACACATAGAATAACACGAACAAGTCCAGAAAGGCAGCACAACTTCCTCCTGGCTAGTACATGTGCTGCAGCAATTTTTCTCCCTCTTCCCCCCACCCCCCACCCCTTGTTTTGCAGCCCTGTGCCACTGTGTAAGAAACCCAGCTTTCTGAAGCCTCCATGCCGGAGACCCTGTGGCTACATGAAGAGAGCGACGTCTGGCCGGTCTGGTGCTACAGCTCCACACACCACCTGATTGCAACTGTGTGAGATCATGGAGGCAGACCTACTCAGCGGAGCCTTTCCCAAATTCCTGACGTACGGAACCGTGAGGCATTATAAGTGATTGATATTTTAAGTCGCTAAATTTTGGAGAAATTGGTTACGCACAACAGATAACTGATACAACTACTCTGCTATTTCTCCAGAAATAGCTGTTGCTATGGGCCCTATATTTCAAATATCTCCATGCTAGTCCCTGGCAGTACTTGCCCCAATTAGTACTGACTAATCAATACTGACACCCTCAAATTTGTTTTCTTTACTCCTGGTTTCAGGTCTAAAATTGTGTGTGTGAGGAAATCTGGGGTATTGACTCGTTTCGGGGGCTCAGAGCTCTCTGCAGTGGGAATTTCGGAAATATAAAGCAATCATTGAGTGGGGACTAAGGTCTGCAAGGTACAGGCATTATTTTACTTGTCCAGTTTACCCCAAAATCCCCTCTGGGAGCTCCTTTACAACACTGGATAAAGCAATCTGGGTGCCCTTCCTTCCCCTGGCCAAGGGGAAGACGGTGGCCCAAGCCAGGCCAATCCCATGCCCTCTCATCAGAATTTGAACCCAAAGCTTTGGGAGTTGGGTTCATCTCACAATGGTTCCCTGAAGGAAGTGTCCCCTGTTGCCACGTCCCCAGGATGTCCCGCTCTCTGCCCTTCTGTTACTTACTGCTCTGAGATTCCCATAGCCTTCCAAGAATTTTATTTTAGGCTTACGTTAGCCAGACTGGTTTCTATTGCCAGCAACCAGAGAACTGGCTAATGTAGGAGGCTGAGACTGTGGGTGGGGGACTGAATTCAGGGTCCAGGTGACAGGGCAGAATAAAGGCTCTATTTCCCACTGTCTTTTGCAAGTAGGGATGTCCATGCGACTAGGTTCTGACCAGTGGAATGCAATTAGAAATGATACGCAGCCCCCAAAAAGGAGAGGACATGCCCTCTTCACTGCCTCTCCATGCTGCGGTGGGAGGAAGATGTGAAGGCTGGCGCGTGCGCATCCCTCCTGGATCAGGAAGTGGAGCTCTCCTTCAGCAACAGGACAGAAGGAGCGGTGGCCCTGCTGCGTGGAGGGGAGCCACACCAGTGCTGCATGGCCTGCCTCTGGGTCTTTCCCATGAAACAGAAGGAAACTTCCGTTTCACTGAAATCCCTGGTGTCTGGGGGTTTCTGCTACAAGCCTCAGAATCCTCACTGGGAGAATACTACTGAGAAAACAGCCCATTTGATGCTTTCATCTGATTCTCAGAGGGGACCTTGACCCCCCAAAATATAAAGAAACACAGGGAAAATGAATCAAGGATGAAGGAAGAGTGGGGAAGGGAAATTATTTGAGAAGGGCCTGAGGGAGCCTGCTGGGGGTAGGAGCCAAACTTGACCTGGGTGGGGCATATCCATAAACAAAAATTCATGGAGCTGGACAAGGAGTGCACATGTATGTATATGGTCTTCAATTAGAAAAGTCAGAGAAACGTGAAGAACTACTGATAATAAGGAGGATGGTAGCCAGTGTTTTCCTGAGTGTTTCCCACGTGCCAGTCATTATTCTAAATCCTGGTATTAACCTACTCAAGTCTATAATATCCTGTAAGTTAGGAGCTCGGAGTGCAGCCCCTTTTCTGGATGAGGACACCAGACCTGGAGAGGAGAGGTGAATGCCAGGCCCGGGAAGGGGCTGGATGCCGGGGAATGGGAGAGGAGCCAGCAGGCTTTGGGCTCTGGCGATACTCACGGAGTCCTTGAGTGCCAGGAAACAGTGGCAGATCCAGCGGCGGGTGGTCCCATCACGGCAGATGTAAGAGAAAGCCTTGTCAAGGTTGCGGTCAGGAGCACAAAAGGAGACCTTTTCAATGGTCTGATCCACCAGCAGGTCCTGGGTGTGGTTGGGGAGGCCGAGAAGAATGTGAACTGTCTTTCATGTATTCATTCAACATTCCCTTAGTGTCTCTCTATCTCCCATTCTGATTGGGGTAGGCACCGAGCAGTCACTGTGCATTCTGCTGTGGACCCTAACGGCATGGGGCCCCCAGTTTATCACAGAACCAGACCCAGCACCAGAAGAGAACCCAGGCTGTAATCAGGGAGGCACAGGCAGAGATCACAGATGGGATCGGGGAGGCACAGGGGCTTGCAGGAGCCAAGAGGAGGTGCCTGACCCAACTTGGATATATCTGGGGGGTGGAGTCAGGCAACGCTTCCTAGAAGCAAAAGGCAGGGCACAGTATTTCAGGCTGAGGGACTGCCTGTGCCAAGGTGTCCATACGCTTCTGTCATTAAACTAACTCTCATTGTGTGCTGGCTGCCTCCTCTGGCGGTCTCTGGGCTGGAGGCAGGGAATTCAAAAGTGAGCAAACAGACACCCAGATCCTAGCCCATGGCACTCCTCTCTGGCCGGGTAGACTGACAACAAACACATAACAGCTAACAGTCATCATTCTGAACACTTGTGCTATACCAGGTGATAAAGACCAATAGCAGCTTTAAGCAAATATACTAAGTTGGGAGGGCCTACAGGAGGAGCTAGGGTTTATGGGAGTTCTCACACTCTATGTAATCACAAGAACCCTACAAGGGAGAACCCTATCTATATATATAAAAGCCTAAGCGACCAGAACATGCACTGACCACCAGGAGGCAGACGCTCAATGCAGGAGATGCCCCCTGGTGGTTAATGTGCTCCCACAGCCAACCTCCTCCAGCCGGCCAACCTCCCACTGTTCCTCCCCCTGGCCGGCAGGCCCCGATCAGGTATCGGGTGATTGGGCCCCTGGCTGGGACGGGGAACTGGGGGTGGGTGGCGGCAGACGTGGCCCCTTTCCCAGGGGGGCTGAGGGCTGGCTGCCTCCTCAGGGCCAGCGGCCAACCTTCCACACCCTGTTCCTCGCCCCAGCCAGCAGGCCCCAATCAGCCAGCTGCCCACTGAGGTGGTGGTGCAGCAGTGAGGCAAAGAGGAGGAGAGAGGCAGGGAACCATGTGGTGGCAGCACCGGTGTCAGGTGTCCGTTCCTTCCATGCCCGGCCTGGCAACTGTTGCCTCCTCTCCCAGCCCTGCTGGGGCCTTTGGGCCTTGATTGGCCTGGCCCTGATCACAGGCCAGGCCTAGAGACCCCACCTGTGCACAAATTTTGTGCACTGGGCCTCCAGTGTTTATAATAAAGCTCTATGCTCTAACTTGTGGTGGCAGCACCGGTGTCAGGTGTCCGTTCCTTCCATGCCCGGCCTGGCAACTGTTGCCTCCTCTCCCAGCCCTGCTGGGGCCTTTGGGCCTTGATTGGCCTGGCCCTGATCACAGGCCAGGCCTAGAGACCCCACCTGTGCACAAATTTTGTGCACTGGGCCTCTAGTGTTTATAATAAAGCTCTATGTTCTAACCCCTTAACTTCCTTTTCCCTTCTATAAATACCCCTCAATCTTGGCTTGCAGGCCAGAGTGTGCATGTGGCTTCTTTTGTCTGCATGCACTGGTTTGCAACCCTTTCCTTTACCCCGATAAGTCCTTTTTGGTGACAAAACAACTAGTCAGTATTATTTTTCATTTGACAAAGGCACAGTTTTAAACTATGTGATACACTTTCTCAGGTAATGGCCGGGTCTTTATTATCCCCATTTTAAAGATGACACAGTTGAGGCACAGAAGGGTAACATCTCATACCCAGGGTCACCCAGCTGGTAAGTGGGTGAGCTGGGATTGGAGCTGAGGCAGCTGCTCCACAGTCTGTGCTCTTACCCACTATCTATGCCAGCTCACAAATAACCACGGGACTCAATCTTGAATTATGACTGGGGTGTGCCATGATGTTGCGGGAGCACATGGTATTGTCTAGAAGGTCCCTGAGGGAGGGAAATCCTAGAGGGGGGTGGGAAAGCATCCTCAGCCCCATTTGAGCAGGATGAGGAGAGGGGCACTCTGGTGCCCTCTCCTAACCCTGAAGACCTCCTACCTTGGTCTTGTCATCCACCACTCGGAGCCCATCGGCTGACACCCACAGGACCGACTTCACGGACTTCCGGCCCATCTGCGGGGGGGTGAGAATAGAGGGCGGATGAGGGCTGCCTCTTCCAGTCTGACCTTGCTCCCCTCTGCACCAGCCCCTCACTCACCGCCTTCAGCCTCTTCACAGCATCCTCACACACGTGCATCCCCCTGGACTCCTCCACCTCCACGTGACCCAGGTACTTGGAGGGAGGAAACAGGAGGACATGAAATAAGCAGAGTAATCAATAATTCCGAGTATTCCCTGAGCAGCTGCAATGCACTACACAATGTCCTAAGCACAACATATGTATTAACTCATTTACTCTGCACCTCCGCTCTACAAGATGGGTAGCGCATTCCCAGCACAAATGAGAGTGTGCGGTAGTGGTTCCCATCCTGCCTCTATCCCTGGGCCTTAACAACATCATTCCTGTCCTGAGTGCCAGGATCTGCATCTGAGCCTGAGGACTGGCCCCAGCAATAACTGATGGGATTTGGGGTACACATGCTCTAGCTCCCTCCTCTTGTGAGTAGATGGCTCTATTTCCCAGAGTCCCCAGTGGCATGAAGCACAATTGCCCACAGCTGCAATTTAGTAACACACCATTGATTGGCTGTCTTCCCTTCCTCACTCTCACCAGCATTCCCATTCCTCCCAATGGCCTGCATCTAGGGGAATGGACCAAGTTGGTATTTAAACCTGAACTTGCTATCTCCCTTATGAATGTGTAGTGTGGGTTGTAAAGGGTCATAGAAGGATTTGCAAATGCTACAAAATTTTTGTGACTCTCCAGTGCCCTCTGGAAATTATGAGCTCCCACAAAATGGGGTGACCCAGGCATGTCGTCCCCCAGGTAACATTTCCCTGGTACAAGCGAATGCGTGCAGTTTTTTTAAAATATGTTTTTATTGATTTTAGAGAGAGGGGGAGAAAGAGAGACAGAAAAACATCGATGTGAGAAACATCAACCTGCTGCCTCCTACACGCCCCCTACTGGGGATCTAGCAGACAAGCCAAGGGGATCCAACCAGGGACCTTTTGGTGCACCTACAACTGCACACCACCAGCCAGGGCTAGGTTTTTAATCCCGACGCTGAAGCTCTCAGGCAGTGGGGTCACGCTTCGGCAGGCTCACAGTTCTTTGTGGATGAGCTGTTTCTACCACACAGGACAGAACCGCCTCACCCAACTGGGGCACGCATGCGCCCCACCCCCGCCCGCGCCCTGCTCACTCACCCTGACTGGGAAGCTGCACGTGCCCTTGCGCACCGCGTCCTCGTCTGCCTGCCACTGGTGCGGGCGTGATGCCTCAGGCATGTAGGCTGGCTTCCGCCGCCGCAGGCTCTGCCTTAACTTGTTCATTGTGCCAGCCCCGTCTGCTGACACAGGGCAGGGAGTGGTCAAGGGCCAGGGTCAGAAGCATGGGGCTCAAGGAGGATGGACACAGAGCTCAGGGAGCTAGGGGTGAGATAACAAGGGAGTAGGTTTAGGGGGTTCTTGGGTTAGAGGACATGACCGGGGAACTAGGACCAGCAGCATTGACAGGGAAAGGGGGTGATGTAAGGCAGGGGAGTGCAAGAGTCAGAAGACACGGAGCTAAGAGGTAGGGAGGTCTGGGATAGGGGTCACCGCTTCTAGGGGTCTGGAGATTGGGGATGTGACAGTCTAGATCTAGAATCATGAGGATCCAAAGTAATGGGAAGTCAAGGCATTGGCAGGCTCCGGGATTACAGGGCACAGAGCCAGGGTCATGAGGTCAACGGCTTTACAGGAATGAGGGCAGGGGGTGAGGTGGTCAGAGGGAACAGGAGTTGGGAGTTGCATGGGTCCAATGTGTGGAGCATGGGTCCAATGTGTGGGGGTCTTAGAAGGTCCAGGGATTGAGGTCCAGAGCCAAGGCAGAGGGTATGGAGAACAAGGGCTTGTCTCTGTGCCCCAGAGATACCACCCCTCTAACAACTGTGTCTAGTCTAAGGCAGGAGACCTGGGGCAGTGTGCACCTGTGACTGTCAGAGGTAGGGATGAGGGTGGAGGGAGCCAGCTACTAAGGTAGTCTTCATTGACTAAGACAGTTTTCACTGACTGACAAGCCATAGTGGCAGTCCCAGGAAGAGGGTGAAGGCACACACACAGGACAGAGCACCAGCAGATGGGGACTATGTGCATGTGCAAGCAAGTATGCAGGTGGAGTTCCTGAATGGTGTCCGTGAGGGTGTCCAGAGCTGAGCATGCAACTATTGTGGGTGTGTGTATTTCTGAAGGCTGTACAAAAGGACGTGGATCTGAGAATGGTTGTTTCCTAGAGTATGTGTCTGTGCAGGCTGGCCAGGAGGGGATCTATGTCCAAGTGTGGTTGTTGTCTGTCAGTGCAGGTCCTCAAAGCTTGTTGATGAAGGGTATCTATGTGTGAGAGTGGTTGTGAGTGTGCGTTAGGGAATGTTGCCTGTGAGTGTGTGTCTCTGAGCAAGAAGCTGTTGTCTTTGAACTGTGTCTGCATGAGGGTGTGGCTACTGTCATTGATGACTGCTGCCTCTGACAGTATATGAATGACAGTTACTCAAGAGACCATGTCTATGACCAAGACTGCAGCTGTTGTTAGGGAAGGTATGTCTGTGTCAGAGCATGTGGTTGTTGTAGAGTTGGGTCCACGAGTGTTGTTCTGAGGATGTGTCAGTATGCACCCAAGAGGTTGTTGCCTTTGAGAGTTGTTTGTGACTGTATTTATGAGGATGTGACTATGTGAGAACATGGCTGTTGTCCATGAGTGCTGGGTATTATGGTGAGACTTCTATATGTAGAAGTGCAACCTTTATGACAGAATGGGTCCACAGGTACTGTCTGTGAGGCAATGTCTGCTTGAGAAAGTTTGGCTCCTGTCTATGAAAGTGTGCGTCTGTATATGTTGTCCATAAAAGTGTGTATCTAAGAGTAGTATCTGCTTAGTGTCTGTAGTCACCTGTCTGAGGGAGTCTAGGTATAGTCTGGGAATATGTCTGAATGTCTGTGACTCTGCACTTGTGTGTGTGTTGGGGTCGGTGTGTGTCTGAATGTCTCAGTGTGTGTATGACATGGTCCAGGTATGTGTATCTGTGCACGAGTTGGGCTTGGATGGTCACTGAGTGTGCAGGGAAGAGGTTTGAGGGTATCTACTCATGAGTGTGATTAGGCCTGTGTGATTGCAGGGACAATTCTGCTAGGCAGACCCACCCACACACACTCAGTCCTGGTCCTGTTCTAGCTGGTCACTCACCTGACTCCGTCCTGGAGGTTTCAGGGGGCCCCGGGGCCCCACAGGGGGCTGGGGGCAGACGCTGCTCAGGCCTTCTGGGTCTGCCCTGCCCAACGGACAAAGGAAAAGGTGAGAGGCTGGCTTGGGATGGGCACACTCCCCTACCTTACCCCCTTGTTGGGCATCAGCCATCCCCCCTCCATCTCAGGCTCCCCGATGATAGCCTGGTTGTCATAGCAACTGTTACAAGGGAAATGAGCCACCTGGTTGTGTTTTGGGGGCATTTCTTAGGGAATATTCTGGGCTCAGGAGGCTCTTAGTACCCACAGGGATGGTGTGAGGAGGGAAGTAGCCTTGTCTTCTAGACATGTGTTCAGGGATACACAATCACATGTATGATGCAACTCATGTCTACAGTTGTCCCTAGCACCGGGTCACTACTCTGCACATTTAGTTATACACAGACACAACCCCAACTATACACACCAGGTCACACAGACTTACCTAAACAGTCACAGCCATTACAAACATCTTGTCACATAGCCATGTTCACAGATACACACAGTCTCCACTACAGACATATGTCTACATGCATATAGAGAGTCCCAGCCTGCCTAGGCACTGCCACAAACTCCTGGTCATGCCAGCTACTGATATTTGGTCACTTCTATTTTTTTCATCCACATACAAAGAGCTGAGCTCAGGCATACCCACTAGAGTGGCATATGTACAGCCACACCCAATGACAGTTATGTTTCCTCAGGCAGCCACCCAAATACTCACATCACAGACCCACTCACAGAGAATCACACCCAGTCACACAGATGAAATCACAGACATAAACACTTATCACACCTAGCTCCAATGCTGTGTGTTGACATCTGGTCATGGATGCATGCAGACATACACACAGCCACACCCAGTCACAGCCAAATGTGTTGAATCATCTACAGGCACACAGCTGCACATGGACATTCAACCCTTGTATCAATCACACCAATACACCTTTTTGGTCACACACTGTCACACAATGACACATACCCAGTCATAGGGGCTCACATTTAGTCACAGTATCAACTAACTTATATGGACAGTCCTCCATCACCAATCAGACAGAGACCTGGATGGCCATGGCCCATGCATTATCAGGAAACAGGCTGGCACACTCAGGACATGCATACAACCACCAAGAAACAACTGTCCCCAAGGATGGCCACACTCAGACACAGCCAGACAACTGGTGGTCCAGAGTCACAGCCATACACATTTCAGAACTGGTCGTGTATGCAAAGTCACACAACATCAGTGTCCATATTACCTGGCCATATATCACGGTCATAATTCTGTCACCCGATAATCCCTACCCAGCTATACCACATCATAGCATCACAGAGAAACACAGTCTCTCTTCATGCAAACACACAAGTCACACAGACATGTGACCACACACAATCAGAGCCCCATGTAGTCAGACACATATCTCACACAGAGAGACAATTCCCACTTTACACACTACACGCACGCAGTCAGGTGCATGCTCAGAAATGCAGTGACCCAGACATAGCATTTACAGCTGCATTTATGCAGAAGACACAGCTCCTGACAGTCATGCTGTCACCAAATCACACCCAAACACCACCAGTCCAGCATACACACAGACACACACACACACCAAATAGTCACACAGCTAGACACACCCTCACAGCCCATGACACAGACACAAGTACTTATAGTCACCCAGGGTCACAGACATGCAGGTCACACAAATATAGAAGCCCCAGTCACCTACACTCCCTCCAACACACACAGTAGCCTGGTGCCATCAGACACAGACACACCTATATCTTGAGTTAGATACAGTGAAATAACCCACTATTAATGGTCAGCCAGAGTTTCAGAACCCAAGTCAAGTACATAATCCAAATCACACATTCGCAACTGCAACTACACACAATCACTCAGTATCAACACACAGCTAGATACAGTCATTTATATAACTCTGGTCATATACACAGACCAGGCGCACAAACATACAAGTCACAGTGCCATCACACACACCCAGTCACACAGGCACAACGTGACTGACTTCGTATACAATGGCAGTCACATACTCAGTTGCAGGGCGTGTGCCACAGACCTGTGTGTGACACAAATATAAATCAGACACAACCACAAATGTACACAGTCATTGGGAGAGTTGCACATGGACAGCCATAGACACAACTCCATTTACACATAATCACTACTCCACCCACATCTTCAGTCAACCACACAAAAGTCCAACCCCAGACTCAACATATGCACTTCCACATACCCAGTCACAGTTACCAAGGTACACAAACACGAGGTCACTAAAGAAGGAACCACAGACACAACCCCACAATCACAACCATGCACACACCCAAACAGACTAAAAAGTACAGGGTTCTTTTAGAGCAGCTGTCGTATACACATAGTCACACAAATGCTGGGGTCACTCACAGGCACAACCACAAGCACAAAACACAGACACAAGATTCCCCATAGTCACCAGCACAGACACACACAGAGCCAGTCACGTAAACAAGGGGTCACACTCAGGCACCCCCCATCGCTTGCTTCCCCCTCCCCCCCAGGTACCACACACAAAGCCGCCATCACCTCCGACGCTGCAGACAGACTACAGTCGGTCTCTGGGAAGCCGCCCCCACCCCTTCCAGCATGAATCCTGGAGCGCGGGGGACCGGCGCATTATCCGAGGGTGGGGCCACTCCCAGGCAGCTGGGCAGCCTCAGGGACAAAGGGGGTGGCCCAGAGGACCTGAGCCCTGGGACCCTTGACCAAGCAGAGAGGGGAAAGGGGATGTGCCTGAAATTTCCCTGATTTTATTCAGGCTGGGGTGGGGGTGGGGTCCCAGGCACTGGGACCTTGTTTTGAGAAGGGGCTGTTCCTGGGACGCTGCCCAGGGATTGGGGGGAGGGGGAAGGATGCTGTGCCCAGGACGCCTCTGAGGGACAGATCTGCCTGGAAGCCCCCAGGTCTTGGGTTGGTGGGGAACCTGTGCCCAGGGACCCACCAAGACCTTGCCCAGAGGGTTGTTGTGCTCAGAGCTCCCCTCCGGCAGGGAGGAGTCGGGATGGCGTCTGGGCTGGAATCGCCTCCAGGAGGCCTTGGCTTCATCTGGGGGTTGTGTCCCGGACCCATCCCCAAGCCTTGCGGAGAGAGTTGTACCGAGAATCTGTCGCCCTGTCCTTGGTTTTTCTGAGGTGGAGTTCGGTGTCGGGGGTCCCTATCTCTAGGGCCTTGGTAAAGGAGGGCCTTGGCGAGACCCCTGTCTCCCAAGCTTTGACTTGGTGGGGGCCTGTTCGTGGACCCCCACCCAGGACTGCACTCTCCAGCCTTGGCACCCTCTCCATCGGGGTGCCTCCCACCCTCCGCCACATCAGCAGCGGCGCCGCCCCCCACCCGAGCCCCACTCTCCCGCCCTTCTCACCTGGCTCCCGC